ACACATTTACAGTTTGATAAAAATTCTGAAATTAAATTAACACATGTCATAAAGTAAAAAAAAATTTTATTTGAATTTAATCATATAATTTTATTATATTAAACATATAGAATACATTTTAAATCCGTATACATACATGTTTAATATATATTTGATATATATAAGAATTGTCATCAGTCTTTTTGTTAATATTAATGTCTTCATAAAAATAATATTTATGCAATTTAAAATATTAATATTAAAAGTATTGATATTTTGCAATACCACATTGGAATAATACATTTTACGTATGTACCTCGGAGGCGCTGATTTCTAAAAAGGATATTGTTATAAGCATCGGTAAATAGTTTGAATGTAATGTATTTAATTCATTAATTCCACTACGTTGCATCACAGTAAAATATAAAAAGTTTTAATACGTGCCTAGATTTTAGTCACGATATTGTATAAGCTAATCGTGAAATCGACGATTTTACAAAATCGTTTGTGAACGCTATAATATTCGTAAGGTATTTGTGCGTCATGGACTTGTCATGTGCGACAGTTGTTAAGGAAAGTCGACACAATATACATTCCATTGTACATTTTTTTTCGAGATAGACATGTTACCGATATTTAAATCTACTTATATCTTGAAATAAATGCCGGATATTTTACATATTGTTAGTGGTGCGTTGCTCTTAATAGAAGAGTCAACGCACCATTTTTTATTACATTTATTTGTAACGTTGCAATTTTTAATCGTGAACATTTAATGCTCTTTGGCTCTATGGGTTCAGAGAAATACAAATGTTTCCGTTGAACGGCAGACTTCGCGGTTTTTGTAAATAAAAATATAGATATATATACCGATGAAAGAATTACAGAGATTTATTTTATTTCCAGTATCTCCAATATACCTTTACGCAATTTCAATATATACTTCATAATAGAAAAAGAGTTTTTTGTATATATCATTTTTATGTAATTAATTGCATATAAAATCTTCTAATATACACTCTAATTAGTATTCAATAAATCACGTAATTTTTTTTTTCTTTATTGTAATAAATATTAATTCAATTTCAATTTATGATATGTTTTATATCTATACAAAAAAAAAAAGAAATAATACCATCCAGTAATACTTTCCAGGCAAAAGACTTTTTATATTTAATCACAATATTTTATATCTTTATTGAATATTTTAATATATCTTAGCACACACTTTTCACATTTATCGTTGCACTCCGTTCATCTTAGCTTTTTCTCTCTTATTATCAATTATCCAAACAATTTTTATTCTTCCAGTGCTCGGACACTTAAATCCCATAACTATGTGGCTCATAACAGACGTCATTCTCTTCATACATCATTCTAAGATGAATATTACCTCATTCGAACTTATTCTCGAATTGAAAAGATTTCTGAATAAGAAACGTCACATTTAATTAAAAGGACTGGGATAAGAAGGGTCCGAAAATACGAATGTGGCCGGAACAGAGGTGATCTGTGAAAAGTCCATTGGTCGTTTTATGTACTCGCATAAGTACCATTACGGAAGGCGATGGTCGAGGGCGATATGGAGCAACGGAGCGGCGGAGAATCCGCAATTATTCAATCGTGGCCCGTGAAGCTGCGTTTAACGTGTCGCTCTTTCACCGTCAGACGTTTCGTAGAGCGCGCAGAAGAAGCGGCACATTCGTAATCGCGTCGTCGCGCAATCTCGAAATCACGGTGTGAGATCGCAAGATCAAAGGGGTCAGAACGGCGAATCTTAGAAAGTCCTCGGTCGTTTTCGGATCGCTTTCGGATTTCCGTTCGGTTGCCGGTTGTGGTTTTGAAAATTTTCCGCGAACACATCTGTGGCACGTGTGATTCTCCAACGGTAGGAAGCACAAATGAATTTATAAGAGAGTGGTTCGGTGAACTTTTTATCGTATATCTGTGATACACCATGATGAAGCAAATGGATTAAAAGTAAAAATCGCTCATCTTTGATATGCTCCTTAAAATTGAATGTATATGTAACACGTATGTGTGTGTATGTGTGTGTGTGTGTGTGTGTGTGTCTTGTAGGTAGATTGATCTTTATATAAAATTTCGCTCTGCTCTGATCTTTCTAAAATATCGTCTCTGTATACTGAATGCGGATGTAACGTTTCGTTAAATTTCTGCGAAATGCTGGAGAACTCACGCAACAACGTAATTGCGGATTAATTCTTTGTGTCAATTTACGAAGTGCTATAAGACCATTCAGTATAGAGTTATTGTATATATTGAATATCGGAAAAGTGTTGTAATGTCGGTAGCATAAAGATATAAAATTTATTCGATGTGAATACCCGATCGTGATAATATTTACACGAGAAAATATATTCAGGGGGCAATGGATACGACGGAAAATATCCGGCGAACATTCGACTCGATCGATTTTATCGTGTTCATTGGGATGCTGGGCGTCTCTGCCCTCGTAGGTGTCTATCAGTGTTATGCGTCGAGAAAGAAGGCGGATGCTGTAGCAGAGTACCTTGTAGGCGGCCAAAAGATGTCTATACTTCCGATAAGCATGTCATTGATAGCAAGGTAAAAATTTATCGTCTTCAAATTTTCTGCCAAATGTTTTAATTTGACTTTTTTTTACTGTATTTTCGGAAAAGAACAAAATTGAATATATTCCTTGAGATTTAAAAACGTCC